ACGACATTGTGGCTGACCTTTGGAGAAATTGGCTTCCGTTTGGGTTGTTGAAGTTCGTTTCTGGAATCTACCTTCGCCGTTAGAGACTCGAGGATCTGAATTATCTGTTGTGTCTTGCTCCTTAGCGGACGTGTGTTTCTCGACGAGTAGCTAGATCCAGACGAGAATTCGGCAAAACTACCAGCCGAAATTTTGACCGTATCACCCTTTATTCTATTGGTTAGACGACTTGATCCAATCTTTGAATTGCTCGATCAGCCAGTCTATGGAGATCCATGAGCGATTCCTTGGTAAGTGAAGGCAGTTGCACTAGCGCTTTCACTTGCTTTCCCTTTAGTAGCTGTTTGTTGTACTATGTAGCAACGACTCCCAAGCAATCGGATTGTTGTTACTAGTAACCTTTAGCAGCCTTAGCTTCACCTGCTAAGCTATCCTTAAATTAGTGGAATTTTTCCACTTCCGGAAGATCTACCTTCACATGAATCAAGGACGTGTAGAGATCCCTGAAACTCAGCCAGTCCTCGATGTCTCCGTCGAAAGTCTGGAGTTTGATTTGCGGTAGGCGTACACGGTGTATTGTACCATGTGTACTGGCGGAGTCCGCACTCCGTGTTGACTGGTTTAGGACAGATTCATCCTGGAACTCCTTGCAATGATTTAGCATCGTAATAGTGAGAAGTTCTGACGAACTATCTGTGGAACATTCCGAAAATGTCTGATGCCTTTGGAAAATTTCTGGAAATTTTCCAAATTATGAGGCAAGTTTCGTAAATTTCAGGGAAGCACCATAAACTTCAGTGAAGTCCAGACAAGTAGAGATTCCATGATGAAGTTTGAATTGTTTTTATAAAATTGTGGAAGCTGCAATTGTAGTTAATAATGCTTCTGGAGAATTGTGGAAACTTTTCAAATGTTTTAAGAAGTTCATTGAAGTCTAGATATCTTCCGGCAATATATAAAAAAAAACTTATGATCGAGAGTGTAGTTCCAGTAAATTCATGGCAACTTTGAGAACTTCCCAGGAGTTCAGACACTCGCATTTCAAGTAACCCTGTCTATCGGTATCTGCTGGCGATTTATATTCTCGTATCAATTTGTAGCGTCTGATGGCTGTTCCTTTACAATGCAGAATAATTATTCGTTTTCTTAAAACTAGTTCACTAGTTAGGAAGGCTCAATCGCCTTAGATTTACGGAGCCGATACTTAATTATTCATTGTTTGTGTCAAAGTTCACTAAATTCTATGTCTAGTAGGAGTTGGGAACGATTCGTTATAAGTGCTTGCCGATTTTTATTGGTGTACTGAGACTGTGGCTTTTAAAAGTAAGGGTTCAACGGTAGTTGTCAAAATTATTTTATGTCTCAGATATCGGCAAGAAAGAAAATAAAGCGAATTGATAGCATTTTATAAATGACGCTCTTCCCTGTTGGTAAGGTGCAAAACCCGCGACGACCAGATTCAGGTCATAGGGTACCTTCTGTACAATTATGGGGTCAAATGAGCCCCGCAACATGCGCTTTGCAAATTGGAATGCTTGCTTAATCCGAGCAAAAAAGACCAAGCTAGCCTCATTCCTGAATGAACACAATATTGACGTCGGTATCTTTACCGAGACCCATCTCCTACCAGAAGATAGGCTTGCCATACCTTATTTTTGGTTGAACAGACTTGATCGCACCAGCTCCAGAGGAAACCCCGCGATTGCAACAAGTACATCATCGCCGGGGACCTCAACGCAAAACACCAAGCCTTGGAAAACAGCAGAAACAACAGGAACGGCATTATCTTGAACGACAACGTTGAAGAAGGTCACTACAACATCTTGAGCCCGGATTCTCCCACCCGGTTGAGTCGATCTGGAGCTCATTCAACCATCGATGTCTACATCTCCAATTTGGCCAACATCTCTAAACCAGTAGTCGTTCAAGATCTCAGCTCCGACCACTACCCGGTGGTAGCTGAGGTCGACTCATCAGTAAACCGTAGTAGTCCATCAGCAGGAATCGAGATCGGTGAGTAGCACTCTGAAAATCGATAGATCCACTAAAGACCTTATAACTCTCCGTAACCACCATACGCAGGTAGTACCAACGTTCTGGTCTGTCTGTTTATGAAACAAATTATAATCGCCTCACTGAAATCATCCAAACCAGAATGGTGAACCTCAGAAATGAGGATTTTACCAATAGGATCCGCGCTCTACCAGATTGTGCTAAGCCATTTTAGGAGTTAGCAAAAATCTTAAAAACCAAGCCTAGGCCCATTCCACCGTTGATTCCACTAGACAGTAACTCTGTGGATCATTTGATAACCCCTGCAGAGAAGGCTACCGAAATAGGTCGACATTTCGTCAGCTCGCATAATCTAGCACAAGACATGGTCAGTCCCCATGAAGATATTGTCAACAACCTTCATCAATCACCAACGATTTCTCTGAGGAGATGGAGAATACAGCTGACCAACTGGTGACCTATGTCAAAACATCCAAAAATATAAAGGCCCCAGGTTTCGACGGTATCCTCAACTTGGAACTGAAGCACCTAAGCCACCAGTTCTTCGATCACCTCGCGCTGATCTTTAACAGATGTGTGCATCTTAGCTACTTCCCCATCGTTGTGGAAGTTAGCTAAAGTTATTCCCATTCGGAAACCTGGGAAAGACCCCACCAGTCCAAAAAGCTACCGCCCCATCTGATTTCTCCCGGGGTTATCAAAATTGCTTGAAAACATCTTACTCGAGGAACAGTTTTGTTTTTGCCGCGGGTGCTCTACCCTGATCAACTGACTCGAGTAAAAAATGTCCTCAGACCTCTGCAATGGCTCTGCTTGACGTAGAAAAAGCCTTTGACGTCTGGCATGACGGGTTGCAAGCAATACAATCTTCCCAGCTGTTTGGTGAGGATAACAAACAATTATCTGCAGCAAGGATATTCCAGGTTTGCTTGCAAGGAGCTACATCCGAAGCGTACAACATCGCTGCAGGCGTTCCCCAATGTAGTATCCTGGGGGGCCCTGTTGTTCAATCTGTACACCTCCGATATGCCTGTACTTCCAGAATGTGGAATTCTGTCTCTGTTCGCAGACGACACCGCGATTATCTACCAAGGTAGAGTGATCAGAGTGCTAGTAGCGAAACTCCAAAGGGGCCTGGATGCCCTGACAGATTATTTCACTAGCTGGAAGATTTGTGTCAACGCTGCGAAGACCCAGACCATACAATTCCCCCACTCTAAATCACCAAGACTTTTTTTTCCGGTTGAGGATGACAAAATCAAGTTAAACGGCACAACGGTGGAATGGGCCTCAGAAGCCTCACACTAGACAACAAGCTTATCTTCAGGGAGCAAGTTGTCAAAACTGTCGTTAAATGGAACGGCATGATCAGATCCCTGTACCCGATCCCTGAAAAGCCCATCCGGTAAATCAATCAAAAAGGATACCAAATGTATTGCACAGCAATATTTTATTAATAAAGAAGAATATTTTACTACTTTTGGTAACTATTACGAAGTTTGCTCGCGAGTTAGTTGCAACTAAAGTTAACCCTCATCCCAGCATCAATTAGAGAGATCCAAATTGTACTTACAAACATTAACATATTTTTCTCTATTTCCATGACAGCACTGGGAGGTTTTAAAAACAAACGAGCACACTGACGTTTGTCAGAATACAAACAGTCCCACTCTTGATACCCGATTCAGGTTAGAACTGAAGAAAAAAAAATCACTATGTAGGGGAAATGGCTCTAATGTTGACCTATGGATCTAAGATTGGGCCCATCGCTAAAAATCTGCTATTTATCAATTTTATCTAGATTAACGCGTCATTGGGACGGTACTAATGGATATTTTTGGTTGCTATTGAAAATTTAGCCGATTGCTGAATTTATGTATGGGTCCAAATTAGGGACACTTAGGCCGACATTACATACATTTCCCCTATATGTTTGGGACCTTTTGTCATACACATACACTCAAGCTCCGGATCCAGCAGCACTCAATCTGGTTCCGTTCGTCCTTGATCGATCCTGGCTGGGTGGTGGTGGTTTGCCGCACTGCGCAAACCGTCAGACAACACAAAATTCACAGGAAATTGTTCCAGTCACAGCATGGATCGAACAACGACCACCGTCACCGACTACGGTGACGGCGACGACGGCGTTGACGGCGGGGTGCTGGTAAAGTTGGCCGAAAATTTTGAGCCATTTAGAAGGGAATGTAATATTCATGAGACGAGATGATGTAGGACACACGGTAAAACGGAAACTTTCGTTCCTTCGTTGGTTCGTTCCGGCAGACTTTGTCGGTAGATATATGTAGAGATACATGGTGTGTTACGTACGGTCGGTCGGTACGTGCCTACCATTTAGAAATCATCGAACGGAGCTGCTGGGTGGAAGAAAGCATTGGATTGGATGAGCGACCAGTAGTGGCACTGGTTGGTGTGGTTGCTGTCTTGGGGGATTTATTTGACCCACTTCGACGTTAGATGATGATGAGCCATATGTACGATGCTGCTGGAGCTACACATTCGATGTGGGTTCAAGCTCAAGCGACTTCTGGCGTTCGTTTAATGCAAGTTTAAAGCAATCGAAGCAAAGTAAGTTCAAGTTTCCACAACCGAATTGCAGAAGATTGAAGAGATTTTTCGGAAAGTAATTTCCGGAAATGGTTGGAAAGAGTACTCAAACGATTAAAACTCAAGAAAAAGAGCAGTTTCCCTGGCAAATATTTTCTCACTCGTCCAATTCCATCGCGCCATCACCGGTGGCAGATCGTTAGAGGAAATCCCATTCAAAACTAACACTATTTTTATCGTATCCCATCGTAGTCCATCGAGAACGTCTTCATCCGTAGGTATCCCAAAAGACAACACCGGGAAAACAGACTCATCGAAAGAAGAGCATGGCTATCGAGCAGTGAAATGGAATTGTTACCATTTGCCAGTTCTTCTTCTTTCTTTCATTTTTTTTTAGTTCGGTTCGGAAATGGGATACTCACATTATGCTTCCACACCACTTTGTATGCAGACGGATTTGCATTCACTTTACATTCAAAGTACACGTCATCTCCTTCCTCGATGTCTTCCGGATTCATATTCGTCCCCAGCTCGAGCTTCAGCGTGGGTAGATCTGCAAGAAAATGGTGCGGAAAGAGAGAGAAAAAAAAAGTTGTTAGAACGAATAAGTGTTACGGACAAATGGAAAGTGATGGTGCAGTAAAAGAAAAGACGACCGTCGTCGTCGGGAGAAAAAACAATCCAAGCGATAGCGCGAAATGGTGGCGGAAAAAAAGGTGAACTACGGACCGGAAATATCCATATCATTTTCATAGGATAATACGATCGGAACGGAAAACTAGCTGGTATATGTGTACGTCTGGGATGGCTTTTTCCGTAGTCGTCCCAGCTGAAGATAAGGAAGAAGAATGAGAAAAAATAAACTTGTTCGCATTAAAATTAAATGCTAAGAGAGGCAAGTGCTCCTGAAGTGATTCCTTTTGCCCGGGACTTTTTGTTGGGGGAACATGTGAAGATTCGCTTGGAAGTGGATGGATTTCAGTGTTATGAGAACAAGAAGTTACAAGTGATTTAAAAATCCATCGATGCGTATGACATTAAAGTATGGAACAACATCATTTGGGTCTATTTCGGATTTGAAAACGGTTTTCACTCAAGTGCATACTATTCCTAATATATTATGAAAAAAAACACGAAACGAATTATACGTCACGCTTGGTTTCCCTGTACGTTTCGGGCACGTGCCATACGATGTTTTTAGAAAAATTGAACACTTTAGCCTGCTTGGACGCGGACCACGATGAATTTTCCAGGTGACAGCACGATTTTTTTTCTACGCTCCTCTTGCATGGTGACTGTCTCCAAAACAAGAGCGTTTTATGAACTGAAAAAATACACTGTTATTGTTTTTGTTGATGTCAACAAATAGACGTCAAAAGCGTCTGAAAACGTCCGCTAGGAGCACTGCACTAAGCAAAATAGTTTTTTCCATTACTAAGTGGGCCATGGTTTAGTTGGTTACTTGCAAAACGACTAAAGCTGATATCACACTGTTTGCCCAAACGACAAATATTTGACTCGTTAAGGAGGATATGAGAGTTCTGATGACTTGCCACCTATATAAGCCTATATGAGCCAAGCATAAAGAGTAGCGAGTTTGATCCGTAGTAGTCGAGTACCTATCATGCACATGCTACTATCAAGTGGTAGAAAGAGAGGTAAATACAAAAGTTTTGCTTCGAGCGTTCTGAAAATGCTAAACCATGCAGCTCAAAGGAGAGGAAGTTATTATTGAGGAACTATCCTCGTTAATCATAGGAAGCCTCGGGTCCTTATGGACTTCCTTCAGAAGCCTAACGGATATCCCAGTAAAGCATGAACATGAGCATGATTGACCGCCCACGGTTGCTCTGGGTAAGAGGGTAGGGTTTGCAGCAGGGTTCGTTTTGGTAAACGATAAGCTGAATTGATGTCCTAACGATAGGGAGGGGTTAATGTATAAATAAATAAAAAGGAATGATCGCACCAAATAACTAAGTGAAGCTTGTGCACCAACAGCAACCGGCCTTCTCCTAACGGATATCCCAGTAAAGTCAAAGAAACTATCCGAGAAGTCCTATGAACGCCTCCAAGCTCGTTTTGTTTGCGTCAAATAAATCGTTTTCTACTTTATTTGTTCCCAAACAGATTTCAGGAGAACCAATCCGGCATCCGGGAGGGACTTTAAATGATCGATTTCTCAAATAAAATTTATGACTGCTTACAATAAACATAGTCAAACTATTGATTTTTTAATGACAAAAACCAGATTAACGCAGTATTTTAATTCTATTCATAATTTTAACACATGACTTGTAGCTTGTAGAAACTGGTCTACTTCTGATTGACGACAATAAATAAATAAATAAAGTGGTAATCGTGATTACCTCTCACCCCAGCAGGCCTGGGTTCAATCCCAGTTGGCGCCGCCGGAATGTTCTGAGGCATAACATCTCTGATCACGCCTTTCTTTGAAAGATAAGTAAAGCCAATGGTCGGAAATGCCAATTCGGTGAACTTAATTGTTTTGCGGTCAAACCGTTAACTTAATCCAAAAACTGTCTTCAGAAGAATTGTTCACAAAAACATTGCGCATATTATGACAACTACTATCATGGCATACTGTGAAAAAAATTAGAAAATAAACTAAATTTTTTTGCAAAAGAGATAGAAGGGCAGTTTTTTCAGCAAAGTTGTAGTACTTACAAAAAAATGAAACTTTGTTACAGACACCAAATTTGTATAACGAATACTTGTAAAGATATGAAGCGTTTTTGTTGGAAACCCCCTTAAATTTTTATTGTATAACTTTTTTATAACAGTTTTTGATGTAAACAATGTTCAAAAAAAATGTAAACAACATACAAATACATATTTTTGCTGAATACAGAATGTGGCTAAAATCATCCCTTTCAAAGTTATAGTATTTTTAACATTTATTTTTCCTTAATTTCAGCTGCATATAGGGGAGAAGGTGGCAAACCGAGACACAGCAACAAATACTCTTTTTAAAGCTTAGACTCTGTACTAAAAAGTAGTGAAGGTTTGGTTAGCGCCAATTCATAAGTTATTCACTCACTTATGAATTGGCGCTAACCAAACCTTCACTACTTTGTAGTACAGAGTCTAAGCTTTAAAAAGAGTATTTGTTGCTGTCTCGGTTTGCCACCTTCTCCCCTATATGCAGCTGAAATTAAGGAAAAATAATTGTCGAAAGTACTATAACTTTGAAAGGGATGATGTCAACGTGTCACGTTGAATGTTCACGTGTTTGGCATTTTTCTATATAAAAATAACCCTGTCTCCTCATTTATGAACGGTAAATTACGGATTAAAGAAACAGATATTATCAAACTCATCCGTGAACAACAAAGAAATTTTGTGTGTATATGCATTAACAAAAAAAGATTAATTTAAACAAAACATTTTCCAAGACAAGCACTTTGTGTGCTTAGCTCACTACAGTTGTCAATATATATTTTGGTTAGAAAAGAGTGAAATTAAAGCGGTGGTGCAAATTTGTTCCAACCGCATTCTTCGGGGGAATGCAGTATGAGCATTGACAAAGAGCCAAGGAATAAAAAACATCTCCAAATGACAAAATGACAAGCGATCAACGAACCGAATGATAACGCAATGTCAGAAGTGGAAAGTAATAATGATATAATCTTCTTCCTTCTTTTTCATGACAAGCAGCTCGGGCGACACATCTCACTCGGGGCGGTAGAAGGAAACAAGCAAAATGATGGCAAGCTGCTTCACGAAGTAAAACCGACGTGTGTTAATGGGAATGTTTTTGTTATGTCTTTTCTCGATTCAGATCATGCTATGTCCTTATCCGTGTTTATTGCAACAAAGCAGGCAAGCAATATTGCATTATCCTTCTACCACTCTGATCGAGCTATGTTACAGAGCGAGTTTGTCATGGTAGTCGTAGCAACCGTTTTGTTTGTATCTTTGGTTGCTTTATGTGTTTGGATTCGCTGCATAGAGCTGTTAGTTTACACGCTGCATTAGTGTTCGTGAGATCTTGGCTAGTCTGCTTTAGCACATCAGCTTCAGGCACACTTATTATTTGTTCTTGTTGTCATTCTCCAGTAGTTGTATTCTCCATTTTTATACTTTGTGTTGTGGTGCGTGCTGAATAAGTGTAAAATCAACATGGCCTCTGATAACGCAGGTATGTTTTCAATAGAAATTATTTCTTTATCTGATGTTCACTGATGTATAATTTTGAAACTTTTGTAGTTTCGATTGTAAAACGGGAATTATTTTCAATCTTGCGAAGTGCCGGTGGAGATTTAACAACAAAAATTCGCAAAATATACGAGTTTGTTGCTGATTTGTATAGAATGAAATCTGATATCAAAACCGACGTGGCGAAAGAAGTTGAAGAATGTGTGCGATATTTATGCAAGCGGTTCCAAGAAATGTGGTTGAAGCACAATCGAACTGCAAGCAAGGTTTTGGCGGATCATGCTAGTTTTATGGATGAGTCGTTTCAATTGCCACATAATGTTCTATTGAAGCTACCATCATCCAATTCAGGTATGAACTCACAGCCGAGCGAACGTGGGCGTAAAACGTTATCGTTCAAGGATAGTTCTGAGGCCGTCAAATAAGAAAAACGTTTGACCTTCGAACGACATACGATACAGAAGATTTACTTTATGCAGCTCAAATGAAACTTACAAATACAAGGCAAAAAAATGTTGCGAAGTCATTATTGCAAGAACTGACAGTGGGATCGTCCGATGCAGCAAATCAGTATAAACCCACAGATTCCATTGTTGCATATAGCCCACTTGACGCGGTTGCCTTGATTGTGGATCTGAGTCTTAGTAAGCATGAGTACAACCAACTGCGAACACAAGCCAAAAAACGAAACTGTAATATTTTACCTATGTAGTTATGACAGAGTACTTGAAGCTAAGAAAACCTGCTACCCACCGGAGAGTTTTTTTTCTGGTTGGAGAAACTGTAGTTAAAATTCAGTTACAAGCATTACTTGACCACACAACCAAACGAATCCTGGAAGGTTCATCACTCAACAGTTTTTCTGATTCGGAGCTAGTGAAGGTTACCCTGATTGTGAAATGGGGATGTGACGGTAGTACTGGTCACAGTCAGTACTAAAGGAATACGGTGCGGATGGGGCGGACAGGAAATAACCAGGACAACACTTAACAATGAACAAGTTTTATTAACGATAAAGTTATCTTGGTATGACTGCTCTCTTCAGTGTCTTGATATGGAATGACGCTAGAAAATTGATTGGAGTGTTCAAGACAGCAATCCAACGCCTACTTTGTTAACACCCCCTCTCGTTTGGATACTCCTAGCTTCGTCCTTAATTCCTCGAATCGGCCAGCGTCCAAGGACTTGGTGAAGAAGTCAGCTAATTGGTTCTCACTTGCAATTGGTTCTATCAGCAGCTTCCCAGCGGTGACAAGATCCCGAAGAAAATGATGTTTGATATCAATATGCTTCACTCTCTTGGTCTCCACGTTCTTAGCCATGCCGATGCACCCACGATTGTCTTCATATATGGCAACTGGCTCGATCTGCCTTTCA